ATGCTCAGAATTCTCAAGCACTTTAATTTTGCAGTCATCCCTCTAAATATTTGCTAAGCAAATCTATAAATAAGAGCATTGTTGCTATGGGCAAAGAAGTTCTCAGTTCTAAACTATTGATTAATCAGGCAAAACTTAAAATTTGAATTCATTGCTAAATAGAAAATTGCCAGCATTACTTTCTTAATTAAGAAAGCAGTTAATTTAATAGAGATTTTTAACTTAGAAAAACCAATTGTTTACACAAATTGTTTTCTTGAAAAGTGCTCAGTAGTGAAACTCTAGCAAAATTTGTAATTGGGGAAACTTCCATCTTGAATGCTTTGGGAGAAAGAAGGCAAAAAATTGAATGATAAAAAAAAATATAGGTTGGTTGATGATGCATGGAGGGGATTGTAACTGTGGCAATGAAACAATATACGATAGAATGAATGTAAAACTAATGTTCTCCCATGTAAACTATCACATAATTCACAATAAAACATTTACAAAAAAAATATATATGTACTGCAAGACATTTGTATCTTATTTACAAGAGATGTTCATTTTAGGTGAATGAAGTATCAGCCGTTTTGCCATCATTCATATTTTTAGTCTCAAAGCTGATGGTTTATAGACTTTCTCTGCCACGGGACCATCTGGCTCTTCTGCATAAAACAGGCATGCATTGCCAGGACTCGTGAGTCTGGCTCAAACTGAGGCATTGATGTTATCTCCGGTCTTAGCTGATCTCTATTGTCCTACTATGGTGTGAAGAGTTTTTTTGGCTCATTTGTTTCTATGGCACTGTAAAGGAGCTCTGGCAGTGTAGTGGTTATGAATTGGGCAGCTAACATCAAAGTCAGCCATTTGAAACTATGTTCCATGGGAGAAAGATGAGGCTTTCTGCTCCTGTAAATATTTACAGCCTTGGAAACTCTGTACAAGGTCGCTATGAGTCAGAACTGACTCCACAGCACATAACCACAACCAACCACCACCATGACACTGTAGGATCAGCATTGGACTGCAAATCACAAGGTCGACAGTTCAAATCCACCAGTTGTTTCTTGGAAAATTTATACAGGGTCATTGTGAGTTGGATTAGACTCTACTGTACTTAACAACAATAACATGGTTGGTGAATTAACAATCACTTGCCCAAAGAAACTGAGACGCTAAGGCAATCATGATGGAGAGAAGGGTGCTGTAGGATGTCAGAAGATTTGAGCATCGTTACAGCTCTCTGCTAGAAATAAAGACATTGTTAAGTTGTGAATTTTGTAAGCTTCCAGTAAAATTCGGGTTAATATCCTGCTCCAAATGAAAGGAGAGCATTAGAAATTGATTATGTGATTGGTTAGTTGATCATGAGTTCTCTCTCTTAATGTACTGTGTTTTAGTTTTGACTTATTTAAGAATATAGCAGTGAAAAAAATGGTATGTTTATGGTTTATTTATCATATTAAAGATATCATTGTTGATGTCAGATGGATGTTAGCTGGAAGCAATGTCAGAAAGATGTCTGTTTGTGTTTTATTGACTTTGCCAAGGCATTTGACAATGTGGCTCATAGCAAATTAAGGATAAGATTTTGAAGAATGGGTATTTCACAACACTTGGTTGTGTTCATGTGGAACCTGTCCATAGGCCATGAGGTTGTATTTCAAACAGAACAAGAAGATACAGTGTGGTTTAAAAACAGGAAAGGTGCGTGCTAGGGTTGTAGTCCTTCACCATACTTACTCAGTCTGCATACTGAGCAAATAAGCTGAGAAGCTGAACCAAATGAAGAAGGCAGTCCTCAGGAATGGAGAGTCATTACCAAGTACATTATGCAGATAACACAACCTGGCTTTGCTGAAAAGGAAGATGACTTGAAGCATTTCTTGATAAATGTGAAAGGCTACAGCCTTCAGTAAGGATTGCACCTAATCATAAAACAAAAATTGTCTTTAAAGTATTCAAAAACAAAGACTAAGTGCACCTGACTCAACCCAAGGTATTTAACATTGAGGACTAAGTGCACCTGACCCAACCCAAGGTATTTAACATTGCCTTACGTGCAAGCTGTTTGAACTGCAAGCTCACCAGTTGCTCCTTGGAAACCCTATACAGGGTCTTCTATGGGTTGGAACTGACTTGATGGCACTTAACAACAATAATGTATACATACAATAGCTAGAAGACTGCTGAAAAATCGATGCATTTGAATTATGAAGTTGGCAAAGAATATTGAACATACTTTGGACTGCCAGAAGAAAGTATAGTCAGCATGCTCCTTAGAAGCAAAGATGATGAGATTTTGTCTTATGTACTCTGGACATATTATCAGGAAGGACCAGTCCCTGGAGAAGGACACAATTGGTGCTTGGTAAAGTAGTAGTTGTTAGGTGTTGTGGAGCAGTTCTCACTCATAGTGATCCTACGCACAACAGAAAGAAACTGCCTGGACAGATGCCATCCCCACAATTGTTATATTTGAGCTCATTGTTGCTGCCAATCTTCCAATCCATTTCATTGAGAGTCATCCTCTTTTTCACTGACCCTCTACTTTATCCAGGGATTGGTCCTTCCTGACAATGTATGAGAGACAAAGTTTTGCCATTCTGGCTTCTAAGGACCATTCTGGCCATATTTCTTTCAAGACAGATTTGCTTGTTCTTCTGGCAGCCTATGGCACCATAATTCAAATGCATGGACTCTTCTGTGGTCTTCCTTAGTCATTGTTCAGATTTCATATGCATATGAAAATACCTTGGCACCTTAGTCCTTAAAGTGACATCTTGCTCTTTAACACTTTAAAGAGGTCTTTTGTAGGAGATTTGCCAATGTAATATATTATTTGATTTCTTTACTGCTGCTTCCGTGAGCACTGATTGTGGAACCAAGCATAACGGAATCTGATAGAAGAGGAAGACCCTCAGTGAGATGAATTGACACAGTGGCTGCAACAATTGATTTCAACATAGAAGGATTGTGAGGATGGCACAGGACTGGGCAGTGTTTCGTTCTATTGTATATACGATTGCTATGAGTCAGAACCAATGGGAGAGCATCTAACAGCCACAATAGCTGTGTTTATACTGCACATGTTTATTAGCAATAGTGGGTCTAGGCTACAACATTAGGGTGCACAATGGGGAGTCTTTATCTGCTTATTTATAAAAGTATAATTCATACAGAGTTGATATATAATAACTGTGTATAAAGTGTACACTGTAATGTTTTGACACGTGTCTACCCAGAATACCATCACCAAGATGAGGAGCATATCCATCTTCCCACCAAAAATTCTTCATGTCCCTCTATAACTCTTCCTAACAATTCTTTCCTACTTTCCCCCTACTTCTGCTAGCCACTGATATGCTTTCTGTAAGTATAGATTAATTTGCATTTTCTAGAATTTGATATTCATGGGATCCTACAGTGTGTACTCTTTTTTTGTTGGACTTCTTTCACTCAGTTTAATTATTTAAATTTCTTTTGGTTGTAGAGTTCATCAGTAGTTCATTCATTTTTATTACTGTGTAGTATCCCATTGTATAGTTATAGAATTAGTTGTATATCTGATTATCTGCTGATGAACTTCTGGGTTGCTTTCAGGTTTGGCTGTTACAAAAAACAAACAAATAAAAAAGCTTCTATGAATATTCATGTGTAAGACTTTATGTGGACATATGTTTTCATTTCTCTTGGCTAAATATACAGGAAGGAGTGACTGAATCATACGGTAGGTGGGCGTATGTTATCTTATTAAGGAATTGTCAAACTGTTTGTTTTTTTTTTTTCAAGTGTTTTAGTATTTCAATACCTAACAGTACTAGTTATGTAATGGATTATGGGCTGAGATACTAACTGCAAGGTCAGCAGTTAGAATCAGTTGCTCACAGTAGAAAGATGAGGTTTTCTGCTCCCATAAAGATTTACAACCTTGGACACTATACAGGGTAGTTAAAAATTGTAATAGATTCTGTAAGAAATAAGAAAAAAAGAGAAATAAGAAAGAGAAAGAGGAGAGAAACGTGGCTTCAACAGCAGGCAGGTTTATTGAGAGTAAACCTGGGAGGTGGGAACCAAAGTCAAGAGAGACCAAGAGCCCGCCCAACCCTTACAGATTGGCATATTTAAGGCAGTGGGGTATAGTTCTGGCAAGCTTCTAATGGGCGGGGTTATGGAGATTTTCCTGAAACCTGAAGTGGGGGCAGGAGCGGGGAGGGCCATCTTTTAGTGTAGTAAAGACTTAAGCTTTCGGGAGACCAGAAGCTTAAGCAGGACTTTTTCCGGTCGCCACTTGGGGGCAGCTGCAATGCCATTTTGTTGATCAGGAGCAGGGTCCTTCAAACTCAGTGACACACAACCACCACCACCAACAGTGTAGGAGAGCTCCTCCATGTATTTATCAACACTGGGGATAGTCAGCTTAAAATTTTTTAGTCATTCTGACAGGTATTGTAATGATGTTGATGAACATTGCTTCATGTGTTTATTTGCCATCCACATAGCTTCTTTATGAACTGTCTTTTAAAATAACTTTTCTCATTTTTAATGGTGGTTGTGTTGGTGTTGGTGTTGGTAATGGTGTGCTGTGGAGTTGTTTCTGAATCATAGAGACCCTGTACAGGGTTTCCGAGGCTGTAAATCTTTACAGGAGCAGAAAGCCTTATCTTTCTCCCACAGAACGAACAGCTGGTAGTTTCGAACTGCTGACCTTGAGGTTCGCAGCCGGTGTTGCAGCCATTATGGTACCAGAGTGGTTTATTTTCTTAATTTTGAATCTTTGAGAGTTCTTTATATATTGAAGATGCTTTCTTTTTTGGCTGGATAGTGTACTTTATTGATGGTACATGACAAGACTGGGCTATCTAAGCCCCTCCCCTTCTCCAGGGGGTCTGGATGGAAAATGAAGATGGGAGCTTCTCAGTGTGTAGGGGGATTAGGGTTGGGGTAAGGACTCCCAGCAACTGAGGGCCTCTTTCTTCCTCTAGTGCTGTTGCTTGGGCTGGTGGTCCAGGGGGCTCTTATTCCTTGGAGGCCATGTGGACCATAAGATCCACCATCCTATTGTTGTAGCCACATTCATTGTCATACCAGGAAATGAGCTTGACAAAGTGGTCCTTGAGGGCAATGCCAGCCCCAGGATCAAAGATGGAAGAGTGGGTGTCACTGTTAAAGTCAAAGGAGATGACCTGGTTTTCAGTGTAATCCAGGATGCCTTTTAGGGGTCCATCTGATGCCTGCTTCACCACCTTCTTGATGTCATCATATTTGGTAGCTTTCTCCAGGCGGCAGGTCAGGTCCACAACAGACACGTTAGGAGTGGGGACATGGAAGGTTATGCCAGTGAGCTTCCCATTCAGTTCAGGGATGACCTTGCCCACAGCCTTGGCAGCTCCAGTAGATACAGGGATGATGTTCTGGGCAGCCCCATGGCCATCACTCCACAGTTTCCCAGAGGAGCCATCCATAGTCTTCTGGGTGGCAGAGATGGCATGGACTGTGGTCATGAGTTCCTTCGTGATGCCAAAGTTGTCATGGATGACCTTGGCCAGGGGGTGCAAACAGTTGGTGGTGCAGAAGGCATGGCTGACAATCTTGAGGGAGTTGTCATACTTCTTGTGGTTCACTGGGGAGTGTTTTAAATACCAACTTACTTCATTAATATTGTGGCCATACTTGAAGAACAAGATACATGTGGCTCCTAATTAGACCTTTTTTTCTCTCAACAAAACACTTCATTAAGTTGTAACTTTTATTATTTGAAATCAATGTTTCAGCTATATAATATGATATTATATGTGGAGTGAAAACCTATTCAGTATTCTGATTTGGCTTGAAAGAACTCATGTGCCTTCAAAAAGCAGCTGGTTTAATCCCCAAATTAGTTAAAACAGTGTATGATTGTTGGCGATAATTGTTTTTCCTGAATGGTTCCTTCACGATGAAGTTGAAATGCAGTTTTGTTATATGTTTGTATTGGTAGAGAGATGCAAGAGAAAAAGCAGTAGCATGGTACGTAAGAAAGCTAATTTCTGTGCCCACTTCTTCCATTAATTAACTATTTAAACTTACGCAAGTCACTGAATTTCATTAGGTCTTACTTTTTTTAATCTGCAAAATAAAATAACCACTTATTGCTACTCTATGGGATGCCAACTATTTTTGGATTCGTAGTCCAGAGTATAGACAGGTTTTGAAGAATAACACATAACCAAAATTGCAAGTCTTTTAGACTGCTGTGAACATGCACTAGTTCCCTGGGTGAAGATGAAGATGAAGATGAAATGATGGTCATTTGAAGCTGTAAGTCAAACTGAAAGATAAAAAGAAATCATTCAGCTAACAAAACCTCTCCATCAGAATCAAACTCCTGTTAGGTAACTGATGACAAGGCTCACTGGAAATGGCAAAGTAGTATCATGAGCTTTCTTTTTATATGATTTTAGGAAGCTAGAACTCAAATGTAAACTGTTTGCCCATCAGTATTGCTTATGGAACAGTTCCTCCCATTAAAAAAAAGCCTTTTATATCAGCATATAACACACATATAATAAAGTGTGCAAAATGCACTAGTCTTAAGTGTACAAATTGAAATCATTTTACATACGTATATACTCACATAAGCATCACCCTAGTCCTGGTGTGTCAGACTGCAAAGCTATTTGAACTGCAAGGTCAGTGGTTCAAGCTCACCAGCTGCTCCTTGGAAACCCTATACAAGGTCACTATGGGTTGGAACTGACTCGAGGGAACTTCACAACAACAACAATCACAAAATGGAACATTTCTATCACCTTGAAAAGTTCCCTTGTATCTGTTTCCAGTAGATTTTAACTCCATCCACTTCCTCCTCCCTCAACTAGAGGTATCCATCTTTTTTATTTCTATTGACATTGAATTTCACACAAATGTAATAAATCATACAGTATATATTCTTTTGCTTCTAGCTTTATTCAATAAATATAATTGACGTGGTTGTGTACATCAGTAGTATGTTTTTTAAATTGCTGTTTAATATTTGACTATATCACAATTTATTTATCTATTCACATGTTGAGGAACATTTGGGTTGTTTCCAGATTTTGGCTATAATTAACATAGTCATTATAACTTAGTCATTTTCTGCATGTCTTTTTTTTAATGTTTTATTGTGAATTACGTGATAGTTTCCATGGGAGAACATTAGCTTTACATTCATTCTACTGTATATCATTTCATTGCCATGGTTACAATCCCCTCCATGCATTATCATCCAACCAAAGGGTATACTATGAAACCTGTCTCTGGGTCTTCAGCACACATCCCCTCTCCCTCTTTGGGTCTGAGTCCCCAGCCACTCGGTCTCTCCACGTCATCATATCTGCCTCCATCACCGGCATCACTGCTTCTCTGGGTAGGGTCCCGCGCTCCACTCTTCTCTCTGGTTGGTCCCAGGAACCTCTGCTCCTGGACTGCAAAGTCAGTCACTCCCCTCCTTTTGCTACACAATGTCCACCTTTACATTTCCAACCCTTACAGTCAGTCCTGATAGCAATTATTCACTATTGCATCACATGAAAGCTATCCCCATCTCCTTTCATCAGTCTCTCCCAGACAGATTGGATACTACTCAGTGGAGATTCTACTTTCCTCCATGCCCTTTGGATCTAGGCTCCCTCTTGAAAGCTTGTAAGCCAATCACTTCTTGCCTTTGTAGTTCCCCCATTTTGGGTAGCCAATGTCCAGGATGCTCATTCCTGTCTACCCTGTGTAGTGAAGGGGTGGGAATGATCCTTGCTGTAATGCTTTGTTCCCTCTTTTGAGCTACTGCATCCATAGGTGTAGGTCAAGTTCATCAAATTGTATCAGATTACTCTCTTTTTCCTCTTCTTTCTTCTTATAATTGAGCTCTGTTTATTCAGCCATTGAAGCCAGGTCAAGTGGGTATTATCTACAAGTGTGGGTGTTCTTATGCCTATGCCCTCTTTTCTTATCAGCTGGATGCTTCCCTCTCCACTCTAGTCGTCTGTGGCTATGTCACTGATTCTGGGCCCGAGAGTCCCCAGGTCTTGCCATACTGCTGGCCAACCAGGTCTCCACCTGGGTTCACAGGAGTCTATTGAATGTTGTAGGGCTTAGCTCGCAGTGTCATTGCTGTTTTTTCCTCACTTCCCCTTATCGGTGACCCATGTGGTCACCAATTTGAGCGCATGTCTGCTCATGTATTCCCACTGAGTCTTAGTCTTAGAAGGGGGTTTGCCCTGAGGGAACCCGACCACTTGCCTTGATGTCTTTTGGGCGAGCAACTTGCTTGTTCTTATAGTTATCTGTTGGACTGCCTTTATTGTTTTGTATTTTTCCTGTTGGTCTTTCTTTCAAGAAGTATCTTCTGTTCTTCTAGTTGCTCTAGACTGGTCTGCTTGTCCTTTTAAGTGTGAATTTCCCACCTCAGAAGATTCTGAATGAGGTTCAGGATTTCACCTATGGTCTTATCTGCATATCTTTTTGATAGACATATGCACTTGTTTGTTGTGAGTTTGCACTTGTTTGTTGTGAGTTTGCCCAGGGATGGAATTGCTAGAATGTAGGGAAGGCATATAATTAGCTTTAGTATATACTATCCTTGCCCAAATTTGAGGTCATCAGCAGCTTTGGCAGTTTTTCATTTAGTTGAAAGGAAAGAATTACTTTGAATAAATCACAGAATCAGAGGATTTGAAAATGGGATTGAAAGAAAAAATGTATTGAGTGATTTTATTTACACTCACTGGATCGTTAGATTATGACTGGTGGGAAGTCCAGGCCAGGCAGATGGGAGGAGCATGTGCCTGTGGCTCTCCTGAGGTAGCATAGGAAACAGGCAGGGATTGAGTGTGGTGCTGAGTGTGGTTGTGAAGCCCCTGCATAGAATGCCTCTGCAAGGACAGAGATGGGATTGGAGCATGCAGTGGTTTACTCTCCCAAGAGAAGATGAATGGGGAATGGGGCTCAAATTGGAAACTGGAATCACATTTCAGGCTCCTCGCACAGAACAACTATGACTTTTTGGACCAGGAAGCCTCTGCCTTGTTTCCTATAGGATATGATCATTCTCCACCTTGAGGTACATCCAATTATGTGTGACCAAAGCAGAATCTCTGGGTCCAGGGTCCAGCCATCAGTATTTTTTGAAAGTTCCCTGGTGATTCTAATAGGAAGTCAGGATTGAGAATTGCTAACCTGGGTGAATTCATTGTACATTCTGAGAGACGCTCAACTCCACTTAGAATCTCCCAACTATCTTGCCATAGCACTCTATTTTGTCCCAAAGATTTATAGGTATGCTCTGAATTAGTTCCAGCTGTATCAAGATAATCGAGATTTTGGGATGGCCAAGGCATTGGGGCAGTTACTTTTGGTCACAGACTGTCAGATTACATAATAAGCAAGGTAAGCATAGGCTTGTTGTTGCTAAGTGCCGTCGAGTTGATTGAGATTTGTAACAACCCTGTATAGGGTTTCCAAGGAGCAACTTGTGGGTTTGAATTGCCAACCTTACAGTTAGCAGTTCAGTGTTTATCCTACAGGACACAACAGGACTCCAAGCAAAGGCTCACTTGTGCTTCTTTACTCATCTGTAGGGAACAATTTCACTTTTTTTTCACTGCATCAAAGACTTTGCTTCTAGGTATGATAGCATCTGTCTCCCTGTCAACCTCACAGCACCTCTCTACAGAATCAGAGACTCCAAATTTACAATCCCTGACAGGGATGGAGTATGCAGTAAGCAAAGTAAGAATGAGCTTGCTTGTGCTTACTTTCATCTTTGTGAGCAGTTTCACAAGTTTTCCATCACATCCATGGCAAAACCCATGTGAAACATTTGACTACAGATTAGTAAATCAGCAAAAGTAAGCCTATGCTTGCTTTGCTTATTGGGTAATCCTCCCTTGGAAATAATTTCCTCTGCTTGACCCCAAGTGTATCAAAAAAAATTATCATTTTTCCGTGTTTGCTATGAAGTGAGAAGGGTGGAAAGCAGTGTTCATCTCTGTTCCTTAATGCAAGGTTTAGCCATAGTGGACCTCTAGCTAAACACTAAGCCTGTGTGTGTGGTGGTGGTCAAAAGAGTGATTTTCTTAAGACTCTGTGTAGCCTTAACTGTTACATGATGACATGTGAGAAATAAATGGAGTTAGTTCAAGAGGTTTTTGTTGCCATTGTTGTCGTTGTTAGGTGCCATCGAGACAGTACTGACTCATAGCGACCCTATGCACAGCTCAATGTAACACTGCCCAGTCCTGAGCCAAACTCACTACTGTTGCCACACTTGAGTTCATCGATGTTGCCACTTTGCCAATCCATCTTGCTGGGGGTCTTCCTCTTTTTCTCTGACCCTCCACCTTACCAAATATGATATCCTTCTCCAGTGACTGGTCCCTCCTGACAATATGTCCAAAGTATGAGAGACGAAGTTTGGCCATCTTGGCCTCCCAGGAGCACTCTGGCTGCACTTCTTACAAAACAGATCTATTGGTTCTTTTGGCAGCCCATCGCACTTTCAATATTTCCTCCAACACCATAACTCAAAAGCATCAGTTCTTCTATGGTCTTCGTTAATCACTGTCCAGTTTTGCATGCATATGAGGTTATTGAAAATACCATGGCTTGGGTCAGGATCACCTTAGTCCTCAAGCTGACATCTTTGCTCTTCAACACTTTAAAAAGGTCTTGTGCAGCAGATTTGCCTAATGGAATACGTCGTTTGATCTCTTGACTGCTGCTTCCATGAGTGTTAATAATTGATCCAAGAAAAATGAAGTCCTTGACAACTTCAATCTTTTCTCCGTTGATAAGAATGTTGTTTATTGGTCCAGTGGTGAAGATTTTTGTTTTCTTGACATTGAGATGCAACCCACACTGAAGGCTGTACTCTTTGATCTTCATCATTAAATGTTTCAAGTCCTCTTCACTTTTAGCACGCAAGGTTGTATCATCTGCATATTGCAGGTTGTTAACGAGTCTTCCTCCAATCCTGATGCCACATTTTTCTTCATAGAACCCAGCTTCGCAGATTATTTGCTCAGCATACAGGTTGAATAAGTATGGTGAAAGAATACAACCTTGTCACAC